CATTGCAAGATTCCTAGTACAGGGAGCCCTAGAGATAAGTGTGGCACAGACACAGTAACCGAGAGACATACACCACAACCCCTGGGCTATTAAATAGAACGGTTGTGTAACCAGCCATGTTATGCTGGCTTTGCTGAATGTTGTGTAACTGTCACTGTCCAGATTCTCCAGAAGATTGGGAAAGACACCGTGATCACCCATGAGACTGCTGCGGCCACGCCTGGCAATGTGGTGGGGCCACGGGACTTTGTCAGCGTGCGGTGTTCTAGAAGACGGGGCTCTACGTGTGTCCTGGCAGGGATGGCCACAAGCTATGGAGCGATGCCAGAACAGAAGGGATTTATAAGGTAGGGAGCCCTCTGGCTGTTATCTTGCTTTACCAACCTTGAGCCAAAGCAGCAGCAGTAGTTGGACAGGCAGGAAAGGGGACATCTGCACGGCGTGTGGCTGCAGCTGTCTGAGTCCAGAGCCGGGGGTCGGGTGGGACTGTAGGGGAGTGGCTAACCCAAGAGGCCATGTTGGAAGTAACAGCTTGAGCGGAGCTAGCCCATGTACGTCTGCCAGCTCTGGGAGCTGCTGGTGTACCGAAGTACAGAGCCTCCTGTTACCAGCCTGGTTTGGGAAGAGGGCTGTAAAAGTGGTGAGTATGTTAAAGTTTAGAGTCCTGCCTATTTTATACATTTCAAGCTTGCTTGAGCTGTTATCTTGTCCCATTAGCAATTCCCTGCCATCGCTGGGCCTTGGGCAGTGGTCATACCTCAATTTTCTCCCCAAAGACTGAAATCCTGTAGGTTAATACATCCCGTTTCTCCAGTCCTCCCTTAACTGGCTCTTGGCATTCACCAACCAACCAGGACTCAAGGGCTAGAAGCTGGCAATCTCTCCTATGGCCACTAGATAGCACTGCATTTTCCCATTCTCTGGTTTATCCCACTTAGGCCAGCTAAACGGGGTTCTACTGTACAGGTATCTAGGTGATGCTCTAGCCTGCCCTCCTATGTACCACAGACCATCTCCTGGGACCTCCTGGCCTTAAATGCCACGGAACAGGAGGCTCTTCACTTTGTGGAGTTTAAAGCCAGAAGAGACTATTAGATCATCTAGTCTGACCTTCTGCATAGTACATGCCATTAAATTTCACCTAGATGTCCCTTTACTAAGCTCAAAGCCCCTACAGCATTTCAGTCTTCAGCAGCCGAGATGGAGGTGCCACCATGGCAGGGAATTGATCTGGTATCTCATTCCCATTACCAAGAAAGATTCAAATGTGTAAAATAGGCAGGATTCTAAACTTCCCCAGCCCCTGCTCCCTTTTGACTGGTACTGGCCCTCCCTCCTCTCCCACCAGGTGTCTAGTAAATGTACCCTTATTTCTCCACTCTGTAGGAAACTACAGCTGGGCAATTTTTAAATTTAACTCCAGGAAGGAGCATGGGCTGCACCCCCACTAGTGAATAGCATGGTGGTAGCAGCAGCTAGTCCCTCCACTCTCAGCCTAGCAGCCAGGCTTTGCACATGCACTCACTGCAGTACTGATTTTACACCTCCGTTAAGCAGATCTATTCTTCAAAGTCCCTTATTTAACCTGAATTTAAAAAAATTGGGGTCAAGGGCTAGAGAGACTTAAATCAGCAGAAAGACTACTGGCCAAGTCCCACTGGAACAAAGCCACTACCTGGATAGCAGTGACTGTGCCATGGGAAACTTCTGGCTGCTGGGAGCACACTGCAGCCTCTCCCCAGAAGCATCTTCTGGTGCTCTGTAGCAAACTCCAGCCTGAGAGTAGTGTATGCAGCACCTCTTGGCCTGAGAGGTGAGGTATTGCCACCCTCCTGCCTTTAAAACGGACTGTACAGAAGACACACACATTTGGATGGTAAATCATTATCCCTGGTTTCCTAATGCAATGTTTTCCTGCCCTTCTCCAGAGCTGAGAACGGTCCCACCTGTATGGTTCTCCGTCCACTGGCTGAAAATCCTTCGCAGACCAAGTTAACCTGGCTACTCAGCATTGACCTAAAGGTAAGTGCACATGGTGAACTGCATTCAAACAGTATAAAGGAGTCCTCTCAGGCAGGCTCCTTAGGAAGGGGGTGGTTGAACATTGTCTAAGGTTAAGAAGCTGTTTAACTTCTTGAAATGAAATTCTCCTGATTGAAGTAATTCCCACTGTGGGTCAGGTGAAAACTATTTCATCTTCACTGGAAATTCCAGCTCTTTCCAACCAGAAATAAGTGGTTCATGTTTTATCCAAACCCACTTGCCAATCTCATTGCAACCTAAGGTGCAAGGTTGGCTCCCTCCAACCTCCTACTCCTTAGGCCCAGGAAATACCTCCACATTAAACACACACCTTCTTTTTCAGGGCTGGCTGCCTAAGACGATAATCAACCAAGTACTCTCCCAGACCCAGGTAGACTTTGCCAACCACCTCCGCAAGCGTTTGGCTACCACAGCCACTCCAATTGCTGTCAGCTGCTGAAGCAGTCGCTGCTGCACCCTAAAGAACTATTAACCTTCGGTGGCATTTGCATCTTCAGGGACAGCCAGAAGCCTACCTGATGATTAGATTTCGCCTCAGAGGTGATTATCCCTTGTAGTGTGTTTATCTGAGACATGCTTTGGGGCTTTTTTTGGGTAAATGAATGGGTTCAGGTTTTTAATGCCACATTGAGTTCAACAATGGGCACTTAGGCCTCCAACCACCACCCAGCTGGGCTCCCTTCTTAGCTGAACATATCAGATCTGTTGGTGTAGGCAACCACTTCAAAATCCCCCAGAAGGTATGTTTAAGTGACTGACTGAAAAGGCTACTGCTCTGTGTGATTACACATAGGAGGATTCAGTGTTGCTGGCTGTGTGCTCTGCAACAGCTTTTGATAGTTTCACAGCAAAACTACTTCTGATCAAACAGGGGCCTTGACTTCAAGGCACAGAGTAGAACACTCAGCGAGAGCTCCAGCTTAACCCTCAGCTTCCACTTTTCTATTTCCCTCATAGGTACTTTGCTGTACAGGAACACACTCTTTAGCCTTAAGATCAGAAGTGAGTTACAGGTTTAATATCTAGCTGAAGGCATCTTGCAATATCCCAAAATCAATCCCTGGGCAGATCCTATTATTCAATTGTTAGTGCAAAGGGAGATTTGCCAATTTATACCAAGCTAGCTTTCAGTTTCATTTAAATGTGCTAATGTAAGTTACTTTGCTGCTCTCTTCAGTCAGCGAAGAATGTAACTAAGTAGCCTGCTCTGTTGAGTACAACTGGATCACAGTATTTGAGGCAGTCAGCATGTACTTATTTTCCACCCCCCCCTTTCAGAGGGGGCTGTGTAACTTGTCTTGGTTTTTAATAGGCTGGATAGTGGCTGACTTGATTTCTCATAAGACACTTTATACAGTTAGAGTAGGACAGTGCATCTTTGTAAGCTTACACTTTTACTTAAGAACCCAATACACCAGCATTAGTTTTGCACTCAGTAGAATTCAGCTGTAGGAAGTTAATTTATAAAGCCAGTTTGCAGGTATTTATTTTTCTTGTATAGACATGCATAATGGACTATTTAATATTTATTCTCAGTGACCATGGAGCTCTAAGCAAGTTTATTTTAGGGGGTGGGGGTTCCTTATCCACTAGGGAAATCTTAAACAATGCTTGTCTTACCTTGTAGTATAAAGCAATGATTGACTTCTCTAGAACCAACCAATTCCTGTGCCCTGCTGAGATAGGACTGTTGCTATGCAGAACACTAAAATATTTGCAATGTAATTCTGTAGTAGCCTAATGTACTGACGTAGTTTACATAATCCAATGTGATGTAAGATGTATAGATACTGTTAAAATATATAGCTGAAAAAGATTAAAATTCTTGCCTGGCTCTCTTTATCCAGACCATAGAGTGCAAATGTAACAGTTTCATAAAAATCCTTACTCTCCATTATTAGTAGTGTTATCTGTAAGAAACCTGTGAGTGGGAAGAAGAGACTTGTAGCAGAACATATATTGTAAGACAACTGCTGTGTGGCAAAGAGACAAACCACTGTGATTAGAGACACACTCCTCCAGGATAAGGTAGTGTTTTACAGGCCCTGGATAAGTAACTTATCTAAATTGTTGAGGCTGTACAAGATGGTATGCTTGAAAGCCTGGCCCCTGGAATTTAATCTTAACTCGGCTTGCGCTCTCTACCCCTACCCACAACAAAATAAACCTTTTAGGGCCCTAAGGCCTGAAAAGTAGCTTACAGCTGTTGGTCTCTGCAAGTCAAACCTTAACTTACATCAGGTGGTCACAGTGCTAGTGAACAGCCCCTGCAGTATGCATTTAAACTGAGCTGGAAGTACACTCTGACTCCTACACAGGACAAGGATGTTGCACTGTTTCCTACAATGCCTGGAGAAAGGGGGGTCAAGCTAAGAGCACATCACAAACCTCCCTAGCATAGGTGGTGTGCCAGATCAAGGCTCTTAAGACTTTAGCCATAAAACAGACAAAAGTTGTAACAAGCTTGGGGAAAGGTTTTATTTTAAACTGGTTGCCAGTTAATATAAAAATCGCAATCTCTCCCCCATAACTTCAGTTTTACATAGTACTTTTGGTACAGCAAGATCCCTTTGTATGGAAGCTGTTTACAGTTTTAAAAATCCTTCAACACAGCTGCTTATACTAACCTGTGTTAAGGTATTTGGCTACAACTGCTCAACTGAAATGTATGATGAAGCAGGGCTGTATGGCTATTGCCCACTTCTGGTGCAGTGACTAATCTAGATATTAAATGATGTTGTGATATGATCAAATACTCACTCCAGTAACTTGTTAAAAATACAGTTAGCTGAAAACTCCAGAAGACACCACTGAGTAGCACAATACATGTAACAAGTCACTGGCCTGGTGGCGGAGGTTGGGTTTTTAAAATATAGTGTATACCTAACACCACCAATAACCCAAGCCCTCAACCCTCTATAAATACCTGCCAGTTAGGTAGCAGCTGAGCCTGGTTCAGAAACTGATGTTGCAATTCTCTAGAAATAAACCATGTTTGTCCAGTGTTTAAGATATCGGTATATACAGCATCTCCTCTAGGGCTCCCACGGTGGGCTTCGTCTTCCATCAACTTCTGTCTCCACATGATACAGGACATCTGCCAATGTGTGCTCTACAACAGCACCCCAGCCCATGTCGCTCATCTGTTGGGAAGGGGAAGAGAAGAGGTTACAGCAGCCCTTTTTTAATTACTTGGGGTGCAGAGCACAGCTTAGCACTGTACTGTTTTCTATCACTTCTCTGATGGGAAATGGGTTAACTTCCGTATAAAGTCACCTTACTTCTGTCACACAAGTCTTTGGGTATATAGCAATGGGCAAAACTGCCTTCAAGGAGTGTCTTCTGCTAGAATATACCCTATGGAAAAGGCAATAATCCTTAAACTACCAGAGTCTTACACTAAGCAATGAAATGCCCATACAGGGCTTTCATCCACTCTAATCTAGCTCATCCCTCTATTTTAATACCTGTTAAGGAATTGGTCTAAGGAACTCTTAAGAAGATTTATTGGAAAAAACACTTAAATCCCCCACCACACAATATGGTTGGCAAGCGTACACCCTTTTCAAAGTAGAGAGCTGGTGGACAAAGGAAAGTTCAAGGAATACCTGATGCAATAACTTCCATTTGTGACTGGGGTCATACGTTCACAGATGGAACACTGGAGTTGACGCAGTCTAAGGCAATGCTTCAGAGGCAAAATGCTTCTTTCTACCCTCCCCAATATTTTTAGATGCAACCTTAATATTTGAAGACATAGGTCTGATCCAGTCTGGCAATTCCTAGGCCAGTTTAGCCTAGATGTTTCAATATAAGGGACTGGAGGCAGATGTGGGATAATGTGACCCCTAAGCATGTTTTTTGAAAGATATATTCCAGTTCAAACAGTAAGTAATTCATGTTAGCCAAATAAATGTCCAATTCCTCTTAGAATTTTTCTAACTTGCTCTCAATAGAGTCAGAAGCAAGAGTCTGCAATACAGGGTAATGGGAAAGATTTTAAGACTGCCACTTGATTTGAGATTTTTCCCCCTAATTTTACTTCTGGTAAATATATTGGAGGTAAAGAGTGCCTTGTTTTAGGAACTGCACTTCAAGCACATCATGGGATAAAAACATAGTCTAAAGTTGCACATGTAAACTACAGGGAAATAGTTAGCTTGAGGTACTTGACAGATCCTGCCAAGATGGTGCTTGTGGACTTTTAAAACCCAAACTATTTTTCCCCTCAATAAAACGTTGCTCAAACACACACCTTGGCAAGATAGCTGTCCTAACGAAGTTAGCAGAAAGTTACTATTAATGCTTCTTTATACAGTCAGATTAGGTTCTCCTTGCCACCCTCCAAAAGAGAACCAGGTGAAAACTGAGTGGTCCACTCAATCTTGAACTTTCTTTTGTTGATAGAATGGAGATACAAGAAAAAGCGGATGTAGTTATTAACTAGTACTTACGGGGCGGTACGTGATGTCTCTTGGAGGGTATTTGAAGTACGGTCCAAAGTTTACTGAAACCTGTGACAGGGAAGTACATCTATTTAGCATCAGATGGACATGCACAACACAAAGTACGGGAAATTGCTCACTCAGCATTTAACAGGCTGGGTGGTTTTAGGTGACATGGAAAGCTATGATCTCATCCACCCCAGGTAAGAGCTTTGCCTCAGCTTTATGGAGACTAGTGATACAACAGAAGTAAAGTTAAGAGTAGCTTCAAGTGGAGTCTCTTTATACATCTACTTGCAGCCCACAGCAGGCAGATGAGCTATTGCAAGAGTACTTGGAAAGCACTAGGCCCACATCATTGGAATAAGCTTAGTTCTGTTAGACTCCTCTCCCAATGCACATTTAGATGGTACGCTGGCAGGGACCCTTTGTGTTGTGGTTGCACATTGCCTAGTGCAATGGGGTTCTGCTCCACCTCTGTACTATCTCAACACAAATAACACACGTCCTGTCCCCTAAGCACCACCAGCTGTACGTTTGCCTCAGTATGTACCTACCGTGCAGCCCTTATACAAAGAAATGGCAGGGAAATAAACACCTTCAAAAATCTCTTTAAAGGCAACTCCTTGGCTGACACCATTTTTATAGAAGATTATCTGCAAAACAGAAACAGTAACTGAATCAAGACGCGTTCATGCTTTACTGACTAGCCCTACATTATTTGTAGCCACCCTCCTCTCATCCCCCACCCCCCAATTTGATGACTTATGCATTTAGGCTTTATGCTCTATTAGCAACTATCTCTTTACTTCATTTTGCAAGATGCCTCATGCATTTGTAACTGAAAAATAAGTCAGTCTTTAAAGTCTTGCATTCCACAAAATGTAACTAGCTGCAGTGTTTTATTACAGGTCAAAGAAGGTGTAACCCAAGCTGCATTACTTGCTTAGTCAAGTCTGTATAAGCCTAACAGAGACCATCCAACTTGACATCCTTGTAAAAGGATGTGATAAGATTCAAATAAATGAACACCAAGAATCTTAAGTGAAAATCTATAAAGGAATGTACAGTGAACCTGTTCAATAGATTTGTGGTGCTCTATCGTTCTCTATGGATTTCTAAAGTGTCTGGTCTCAAGTTTCCACCCCACTCCTGACATCCAACTTACTTGGCTTCCAGGAGTTTGCTTTAGGCTCTTCTCTGCTTTATCCACAAAATCCTTCTCTTCAAAATACAAGTAACTTTTGAACTTGATCAAAGCCTAAAAAAGGTAAGCAACAGAGCCAGGCTGCAAGACATTCACACCATTACTTTTTGTAATATAGTTAATGGTAACCAGATGCGATAGGACTGGTTAGTACACAAGCCCCTAATGACTGGAGACCCAGATATATCAATGTCTGGTCACCAATGACAAATGAGGCTCCATTAAGTATGGAATCAGAATTCTGAACTAGTCCCATCTGCAGCATTTCTATTGATTGGCACATTCATGGAACCAAGACATGGATGTGCCTTACTGAATAACCGGGAGGTAGTCACGCTCTTCCTCTCCCTGTCTCTTGCTCATCTGACCCTCGCTTGTAGTGTCTGGAATTCAGGTAAGGACTGTTGTTTACATAAGGCATTTGGGGCTTTTAAGACTAGCCCTCTAAACCATCACACCATGCTACTTCCTTAGTCAGTGGTAAGAGTTAACACATCATTATTTGCCTCCCATTCAGTTAGAGGGACTCCAGTTCATCACAGAGCCTGGGCTACTACACCTTCAAGTGTGGAGCCCTGTTTATCATAGCCAAGGTCTGGTATAGTTAAACAAATTGAGACCAGCTAGGCACAGCCTAGAGGAATCCAGCTTACCTTATCTTTATAGGTATCAGGCAGTGACTTTGCTGTCTCTGTATCTTCAGGAAGACTGATATAAAAACCCAGTACATCTCCTTGCCCATAGCCAGCTGAATAGTGTTTGCCTATGGACTGATGAAACTTTGTTCCCTTCTTGCTGCGCCAGGAGTAACTGAACTTGTCATAGCCTAGGGGAGCCTGCAGGTTCCCTGTAGAAAACCAGATGTCAGACCAGGAAGCACGAGATCCTTTTCTTCAGGACCTTGCATGAATGTACTGTTTCTAAAAGCAGCTAGGTTTACCAGGCACTAACATCTAATTGTACATGAAACGGGGATTTTTCCTTCCAGGCTACATATTTGTGTGTGTTTCAGTGCAAAGTTTTCCACTTAATACTGAAAATATTTACTTCATAAATATTCATAACACACCTGCTGTTGGCTCTTAAAACTATGGCACGGACTGTTGAACTGGACTAGAAAGAGTTAATAAACCCTAAAGTGATTAGTGAGGCCCAGCAAGCAACAGTGAAGCCAAGAGTCTGCAGGACTAATCTGTACTCAAGCAGAAAACTAGGCACTCGGGCACTATGACTCACTACACAATATTCCAAAGGGTTTGCAGCAGTCCTGCTCCAATCACATTCTCAGAAAAAATACACTTAAGGGTTCTAGCACTTTCATAACCAATCAACATCAATTTCCTCTCTAGAGTTAGTACTGGGGCTTATTGTTCAGTGACCTGAGCTACCCAAAATGCAGGGAATGAAAACCGGAGCAAGCAGCTTTGCTTTCCTAAGGGGTCTTCAGCAATTACTTTACCTAGTGGCTGCGACCAGCCAAGTCTGGCAGCTGTGTCTGGAGGCATCTCATCCACAGATATCTCAAAGTACCAGTCTCCCTTCCGCACCCCATGTGAGGCTCGTACCATGGAGTATCCTTTCTCTCCGATAACGGTCAGTCTGTCATCAGAGATCTTTAGCTGAGGTGCTAAAGTAGTTAGAAAGACAGATGCAATTTGTGATTAACAAGCGGGTGAGTGAACCGATCAAAGGTTGCGATGCTCAATTTAACATCCATGTCTGTTTCCCAGCACAATTATGTTTTGAAGCTTTACTGAGACAGTGAGATTACAGAGAAGATCCCTCATATGGGGAGCTGGCTATCCAGCTTACCTCGGTCATGCAATGCTAGGAGGACTCGTTCATATAGGCATGCTCTGTAGAGATCTCCAGGAATAGGTTTTCCTGCCCAGCAGTCTAGCTCCAGTTTCTCTGGGTCAGGCGCATGGGGGTCAGGCTCAGCCAGAATGTAACGATATCCATCTTTATTAAAGGGGTGCTCCAGAGGGTAACCATGAGGTGGCAGGCGCTGAGCAGAAAACAAAGGGTCACTAGAAGAAGCACAAGGGAAAATGTTAGCATTGACTTCAGCATAATTGCCAGGAACCACACACCCATAAACTGCTAGAGACACGAACAACATTCTAACCATTTACTTAAGCAAAGCCACCCTTCAAATACTTCCTCCTTCACTGCCTTTTACAAAGACATGCAGATGACTACAGCATCCCACCGCTGACTAGCTTAAGTGGTGCTCAAAGTGACAGTTTCTAAAACAGTTGGGCATATAGTCACATACAGGAAGTTTGTATTATATAATGGTCTATAGTTTAGTGTGAGGACAGATTATATCAACATGTTAGTTTGAATTGTGGAAGATTAAAGTTTATAACAAGGTTGCACCCTCTTAATTTCCAAATAGCATGTGCAGAACTGCGTCAAAGATGGGAGGCACTTATTCTGTCGTTAAGAAAGACCATCCTCATAACCCTGGCCGATACACGAGTGTTCCCTATATTTTCCAGTACTTTGTCCATCTGCTACTGTTAAATTACTTCACTTAGCCTATGTCTTTCATTTACCTTCTGGTTTTCTTGGCTGTTCCTGTGGTCCCTCCATCTTGCTGTTTGCGTTTTGCTCCTCTTCCTTTCCCGCTACCTCCTGCTGGAATGCCCCCTTTGGAGAGAAATTACCACAAATCCACATCAGCTAGTGCTTTATATGCAACGGTTGGTGATACAGGGAATCTGTGAGAGCAGAAACTCCATGTGTGTCACTATCAAATGGCTTAATTAAACAAAAAACAAATTTTTATATAGAAGTTTGACACTGACACCATTCAGAGAAAACGAATCTAGCAAAAGATAAAATGTATCTGCAGTCTCTTATCAGTTTTAAGAGAAATGTGTGGATAATAAAGTCAGTTTATCAAAACTCACTTAACAGGAGGAAACTCAAGAATTTTATTACGTGAATTATAAATCTTTACTTGCTCATAGTTTTCTTTTCAAATGGTTTCATTTGTATATTTAGTTTGAGAGAAAATGTTGACACACTTTCATGGAAGTTCCAAACACACAAGGACAACAAAGGATTTAATTTGTTTTTGCAGAAGTAACCCGCTCCCAAAGTCAACTTTTTCCCATTTTAAGCAGACTGTCAGTTGTCTCAATGATTTACAATATGCTTGCGATACACTTTGACACACAATATCTGCTTCAGCAGTAAGCACTTAACATATATAAGTTCAATATATAAAATGAAATACACTAAAATGGGGAAAATAAAAAGCAATAAAAGGTGTTTCTCTGCAGTGTTTCCAAAATTGTTATTTTTTGCAATGTAAATATTAAGAGCAAGGCATTTCATGTTAATATTAATGTCTTCAACACTAGCTTCATCAAACTGCAGGGTAAGACAAAACATTAAACATCTAATACCAGAATTATGCCAAATTAGTGTCTAACTCCTTTAATGTATTTGCTAAACCAAATTACTTTGAACCTGTATTGAATATATTATTATCTAAAGTGATAAAATACATCACATCCCCCTGAGGAAAAATATAGCTTACTTACATTACCGACCTAAAAAATGAAAGAATACACAATTTTGCCGTACTGCAGTGAAACACCTTTAACAACTGCGTAGTGTACTGTAACTAAAAAAGTAGCAAGCTTTTAAATTATTAGCATACCTGTTGCAGTGTAAGGGATAGAGACCTTGGAGGGATATCATATTCTGCACAAACATGAACTGATCTAAACTGCACTTGTTTGTATCTATACTGCAGATTACTAACACCGTAGTTTGTCATAGTAGATTTATAAATCGCAAAACTAAAGCTACCGCGGCATGTCTGAATTTTACCTGATCAATAGCACAGTGTAAATTTTGTGCTTGTGTTTAATACACCAATTCTTCAGAAGCCAGTTATTTGATACTAAACTGAATTTCAGAATGTAACTCAAATTGAATCCTACACGAGAGAACAAATTAAAGTGAAAGGGACACTTTGTATCAGTCATGTGAGGCAGAATATGACAATTTAACAGCTTCTAACTGCTAAACATTAAAAACTGGAATTACTGTTTCATATTAAATATTACTGCAATCATTTTTAGGACACGCTTTAGATTTTTAATTCACTTTAGCTTCTAAGACAATTGAGCAAAAAGCTTTTCCAAACCACAACAATACTTAAGTTTTAGAAGCTGAAAGGTAAATATTCACCTCCCAAAGAGGCTCCACCTGTAAGGACAGAAGTGGCACCATGTATTTGTCAAATTTTAATAACTAAAGGAAAACATAACCAGTGCATGAAATGGAGACAATATACACTTTAGAGATCTGCAATGATGGACAGGTGCACGATTTTTTAAGAGAACCACTTCAGGGTAAGCTCTAGATAATGCAGGGTTGTAGGGTTACTGAAAAATGGTTTAACACCATGCACAACCAGCAATTTTTTGTGGATAGTTTATATTAGGTACCAGTAAAACGTTTGCCTCACACATGAACGCTAATGTTTGCACTTTGAGCAAGGGGAGTGACTCCCAGCTTGCAGACATTCTCACGCTACCTGGAGGAGAGCTAGCGTGGGTATAAATAGTTGTGTAGCCGTGGCAACATGGGACGCAGCAGTGGAATACAAACCCACCTGAACCCGGTGGACAGCTGAGCCATGCTGCTGCAGCCACAAGTACATGTTGGCAAGCGGGCGATCACTCCTCTAGCTCATAGCATGGACAGAGCTGAAGAGATTACTCCATCAGCATGGTCATTCCTCTAAGAGGGAGAACACTAAACTGCAAGTGAGCATTACATGGAAATGTATAATTGAATAAAGCCTCCCAAGTGCTCTTGAAATCTCAGAATGAGGAAAATTGGAAGTTCGCAGGATAATGTTCTGTCACAACTAAAAATCAACATTTTGAGGTTGGACAGGGAAAGAGGAAGGCAAACTTTGTTTTCAGTGAAGATATCAGTTTTTAAAACAGCTGTCTTGCAAGCACATGCGTACTACTATGGTATGACCAGCTGTCTAAAAGTGTGATCATCTGTGATAGGGTAAAGACTAATTTATATCACTACAGAAAAACAAGACAGATTTAAATTGGCTCAATAAATTCTGGAAATAGCAGTTACGAGACTATTTACATACAGGCTAATAGGTGTTTAATTTTTATTAAGCTGTAAATGTTAAAGTTAATATAATAGAGCAGGGGTTGGCAACCTTTCAGAAGTGGTGTGCCGAATCTTCATTTATTCAATCTAATTTAAGGTTTTGCGTGCCAGTAATACATTTTAACGTTTTTAGAAGGTCCCTTTCTACAAGTCTATAATATATAACTAAACTATTGTTGTATGTAAAGTAAATAAAGTTTTTAAAATGTTTAAGAAGCTTCATTTAAAATTAAATTAAAATGTAGAGCCCCCCCGGACTGGTGGCCAGGACCCGGGCAGTGTTAGTGCCACTGAAAATCAGCTCGCATGCCGCCTTCGGCACGCGTGCCATAGGTTGCCTACCTCTGTAATAGAGGATGTGTTCAGCTGTAGGACTTTGAGAAAATGTGAACTATTTAGCACATTTTCTTTTAGTAAAATTAAAGAACTTGCCATTTAAGCTTCCACTAGTAGATACAGCACTGCTCTGCTTCTGGTTATCGTACGCTGGACCAATATTAGCAAGGTCCTGAAAAAGAAAAACTCAGTTTAACAATATTACAGATTTATGGGCAGGTTAGTACTTACCACTTGTTCTGAGAGCGTGTGTCTGGTTCAAAGTCTGAGCAAGAAGTTTTTGCTCTTGAGGATTTCCAAGAACTGAAGTGCTACTGAAACTTTAGCAGCACGGCATAAAACAACAAGTTCAGAGCAGACGTCTTACATCTAATACCCTGGGATGATTATGTTTTTTCTAGTTCTAAAAAAAGGACCCAAACTACACAGGGTCAAGCTCTTGCCATTTTTATTTGTGCTAAGAAACAGTCACATAGCATCAGAAGTTACCAATCTCTGGGATTGTGCACCATGTATGTCATATAAACAGCTAGGCATAAGTTAGTAGAGATTTTAAGCCTTCCTATATCCTAGACACATGCTGGCTGAGGGACATGCCTTTTAAAAATGGAGACTAGATTCCTGCATGCATTTTGAGTGAGTCACAACAAAAAGGATGAGGAGAACAACAGGATAGTCTCCACTGCTAAAGGCAGGACTCTGTTTCAATTACACCATAACGTTACCAGAACAGCATTAAGAATGGGTATTTTTGATGCCATCAGAGAGTGCAACAAGGGCCATAAAAACAGAGATACCTTTCAAAAGCCCTTGCACATACTAGAAAATAAAGCATTAGCACTCAACAATAGTAGACTATCACGCATTCTTTCCGGAATTATTGCCAAATCATGCAACTGAGTTTGGCCAGGCAGCTGGTGGGTGGAACTCCCAACATTCCCATATTCTTTCGACTTGAATGTTTCTCCAGCAGAGTTGGAACAGCAGCACAGCACAACTGCACAGAATGTGCTAAAGAGGACAAACAATTGAAATCTGTATCAGAAAAGTTAACTAGGCCCCTGGAATTAAATTCCTGGTGGGTCTCCAGTTTCTTATTGTAAATACATTGTCAAACAGCAGGCAACATGCGTACATTCCAAATGTGTGTACTTAAATATGCATAGTTACGTTTATAAACACACCTTTCATTCAATGCACATTGATGTACCACAATCTTCGGCAATGCAATATGAAGTCCTAATGCTCAAATGCTCTTAATATTAGTTACATCGAGTCATGAGAACCATGGTGCAGAAGGGAGAACTTTCCCCCTGCCTCAATCACGTACCTGATCTAGTAGCCCAAACTTTGGATAATCGTCCTCTGGATCTTTACTACCTGGGTCTGGATGCTCTTTCACCAAGAACACATCCCTTTCTTTACACTGAAATATGGGAGTTAGAAACACCTTCAGAAGACCAAGTCATGCCCAAGAATAACTGTGTAAAATTTACAGTAGATATACACCACAAAGTAAGAAGTCACAGAGACAGTATTAATGTCTCAACTATTTTTCTAGTTCAATTCTAATTATTATCAAACAAGACTATCAGAAAGCAGCTCGATCATTAACAAAGATCCTCTGCAAATTTAAACTTTTTGTTACTTACCATTGTTTTTACAATGTTATTTGGCCAAGTCATTTTTCCAGGTCTCTGTCTAGTTGTCATACACTCCCAGTACTTGTCAATAAATGGTATAATATCCTATTTAAAAAAAAAGAGTTAATAAAATGAGACCTTAAAACAGTTATATGATAAGAGTTAAAATTACTTTATTAAGCCAACATCTCTTTCAACTCCAGATCATACACATTATAATTGACCTATCAGAGCTGGTGAAACTGACAGCTCATACTGTCAATTTTTGTCTGAACTTGTGGATCTAGGCAATTCCCTTTCTGTCAAGTCATAACTCACGTTCAGATGTAACTGTCTAATCATATCTGTACCTTGTCTTTTGAGAACATAGTTTTTGGGTGCTCATCTTGTGTCCTTGACTGCCACGTCAAGTTGGCCAGAGCACTAAGGCACATTTCCTTCAGATCTTAAAAACAAAACAAAAATATACCAAAACTACAGTTACATCCTTGATGATGAAGGTCAAGTGTATTTATATATAACAATAAGGTTGGTAAATACTAAGAACACAGCAGATCTAAGCTTAGATGAACTTCCATTAGTTGGCTTCACATCTACAATATCCTGAATTTTGGAAATGGGGATGCTAGAGTGAGTTATGTGCTCATAAAAAAAGGAACCTTGGCTGAAGGCAAGAATTCTACCAACCTAAGAAATTCATTTGCACAGTGGCATCCTCCAGCAGGTTGTGTTGCAATCAGCACCGCAAATCTTCACCAGACCCACAGACAGACTTTAACCAGCTATAGGACAAAGGTCACACAGGACCATTCCATCCCCAACAAAGATTCAAAGAGGGAAAGAAAATCAAGCTTTTGCAGTGTTTGTTTTTACTTACTTGCTTGTTTTCTTAGAAAGTATGTGTTCCCGCTGTGATGACAGACATTGCAATGGAAACTGTAGTTGGTCATGAAAGGCAGACATGATCTGTGAAACAGCAAAATCATTTGACTCTATTCACAGCTTTTCCATTACATCAGAAAAAGAAAATGATTCCTCTCTTTCTTCATTAAAAAATTCCCCCACGCACATTCATCGATGTTTTCATCAGATTTGGTAACTCAGTGTCAACAACAATGAAAACTATTAAATTCTGGAAAACGTGAATATGGACTAAATGTCATTTTTCTGTTTTAAGAAGCAGTCCTGAAATTCGGCCACCAAGGTAAGCTGAAAGCAACTCTGGGGCCTTTAACAATCAACCATGGATTAGTCAAGGTACATCTATAGCTATAGAAAACTTCCCCATAAAACACTAAGTCCATTTTAAAACTAATTTTTATTTCACACACATTAAAGTTACCTTTAAAAAGAAGATTCCTTAGACACCTCAAATATCAAATTGAACTTACTTTCCAATTTCAGTGACTCTTTACTTTTTTGCTCTTCAGTCAGCAAATATAAACTAGCCAACTCTCTCCTCCCTCCCCCAACTCCTTTTTAAGTCAGTTTCACATTTGTCTCATGCAGTAGCCCAAGGCTGCAAATACTTCAGGAAAATGTCTAAATGCAAACAAAGATTTTTCATTGAACTGAAAGAAAAATATAAACACTTTGTGTTATGTAAAACTGTTTTATTATTGTTTACATAGCTCTCAGTGTGCTAGACTCTACACAAACAAAATAGGAAGACAAGGTCTTTTCCCCAGGGAATTTACATTCTAAATATTTCCATTTTTGTTTAAACAAAACAAAACTTAGATTTAGCACTTCCTCTACCTGGCAGCATCTTTTCAAAATGTATTGAATTTGACTGAGTTTAGGATCTGAATCTTTTAATAAAGAAAATTCTTCACTCCATCACCTTTGTGATGTAAGAAAAACGTTCAGAATCTCATGTAATGACATACAGCAGAACCCCAGAGTTATGAACACCTTGAGAATAGCGATTGTTCATAAATCTGAAATGTTCATAACTCTTAAAATGTTATGGTTGTTCTTTCAAAAGTTTACAACTGAACATTGACTAAATACAACTTTTAAACTTTACTGCAGAAGAAAAATGCTGCTTTTAACTATCTTAAATTTAAAAGTACAGAAACAGTTCTCTCGCCATGTCATTTAAAAAAAAAAAACCCCACAAACTACTAAAAAAAGGATAATTTAACACGGTTCTGTACAGTATTTGTTTTTTCTTTTTGGTCTCTGCTGCCTGATTGCATACTTCTGGTTCCAAATGAGGCGTGTGGTTGACTGGTCAGTTCATAACTCTGATGTTCATAACTCTGAGGTTCTACTGTATGTATTTTCCTTAGCTCTGCTTCACTGAGCTTTTTAACTTTTTGGAATCTGTGAGTGCATATGGTTGTTATGTTTGTCTTAACTGGGAATTTCTTTGATTTTTAGTGAGGGCACTGATACAAAAATTAGCCCTGAGCAACCCTAGCTCTAAGTTAACTGTGCTTTTTGGAGACCTCCCTCAGCTGGAATCAGAAGCATTTCACAAGCAAGTATACCATTTCTGGGTTGGAGTTTGTTCTTAAAAAACAAACCACTATTTTACAGAGAAGTTCAATAGAATTTAGAGTAAATTCTGGAAGATACAAAAATACTATGGTGCTGGGGGGCCATAAGTACCGAGATACGAAGAGAAGAACAGATTATCTGCAGAGTACTAAAGAGAGTTATTACATACGTAGTATCAATGCCAAAGGTGTCCGCTGTGAACCACTTTGTACAAATCCCGCACTGCAGCTCTATCTCTCCAAGCTGTCGCCCATTCTCTTCATCCACTGAACCCGTCTGAGTGTCCAAGACTTCAGAACTGTCCCCAGCACCTTCCTGCAATCATAGCAGCATTAACAGGTCTGGACTTGGTTAAACAGAGCGCCAAGAACAATCCCATGTCAATCAAGTCACGTTTTGTTCATTACAGTCCCCTGTAGAGATTGCTAAAATTAAAAGGATCAAAAGATTTCTCCTCATTTCTTCAAAATGCCAATAGTTGAGGGACAACTCTGCTGTGAATGGGTTTAACTATTGGATGGCGTCAGACAACAGAGACAGCCACACAAGCTTCTCCATGGAAACAGGTGACAATTTTAGCTGCTGAATCAAGAATTGGCTTTTGCATAGGTGAACAATATAGCATGGTAAGTTAAAGGAGGGGAGATTTAGAGGTGAATAAAAGCCCAAATGAGAAAAATCTCTCTCTCTGGACTCGAGGAGTACATGTTTAATTTTTCATATACAGCAATGGCTTTTAAAAAGTAACTTTTTGAAATTTCAGTCTGAATTTCTTTACATTGTTCACAGTTCCAGCATTTTCATTCCATCGCTAGTCTGAATCCAGCTGTACCCGAGCCAATATGTAACTTTAGTCTTTCAAGGCCTCTGACATTTCATGCTTTGCCAGGCCGCTGATAGCTAACTAGTAACATTTTACTGATGCCTCAAGGAAAATATTTTCTATTTTTAATTATATTTCCCCTTCTCCTGTGCTAATCATCAGTGAATAAAGGCCCATTATACTAGTAAAGACAAAAAAAGTTTTCTGCAAGCATCTTTGACAGTTTCCTCCCAAAGTAATAAGTGAATCAGGCCAAGTGTACTAAGCTTTTGTTGTTGTTGTTGTTGTTGTTAAGTATCAAAAGAACATTTAAAAAAACAAGTTTTAGGTTTGACCACCGGAGAAAATATATTGGGCAAGATTCTCTGCCACCAGACACTTTGTGTATCCATTTACATCTGGGTAGAGACTGTAAGATGCTACCAACTAAGAATGCGCGACACACTGAGGAAATTTACACTACAAACGTTTGCAGGAATTTTTAATATTTTTTGCACTGGCTCTGCCAACATTGGACAATATAGATAGGGCCCTACCAAATTCACGGCCATGAAAAATGCGCCACGGACCGTGAAATCTGGTCTTTTGTGTGCTTTTACCCTATACTATACAGATTTCACAGGGAAGACCAGTGTTTCTCAAATTGGGGATCCTGACCCAAAAGGGAGTTGCAGGGGGGGTCACAAGATTATTTTGGGGGGGGGTCGCAGTATTGCCACCCTTACTTCTGCGCTGCTGCTTTCAGAGCTGGGTGGCTGGAGAGTGGTGGCTGCTGACTGAGGGCCCAGCTCTGCAGGCAGCAGAGCAGAGGTAAAGTGGCAATACCGTACGATGCCATCCTTACTTCTGCACTGCTGCTGGTGCCTTCAGAGCTTGGCTCCCAGTCAGCAGCCACTGCTCTCTGGCTGCCCAGCTCAGAAGGCAGCACTGCCACCACCAGCAGCACAGAAGCAAGGTTAGCAGTACCGACCAGAAACCCCCCACCCTCCACAATAACCTTGTGACATCCCCGCCCGCTGGAACTCCTTTTTGGGTCAGGACCCCTACAATTACAACACCATGAAATTTCAGATTTAAATAGCTGAAATAATGAAATTTATGATTTTTAAATTCTATGACTGTGAAATTGACCAAAATGGACCGTGAATTTGGTTGGGCCCTATCTACAGACAAGGCACAGGCACGTACTAAGTTCTCTATTCTTATTCTGAGCAACCACACAGAAAAACACATACAAATTTTCCTTTGGTAGGCCAGACCTTACACCAGTTGTATAATTTTACTCTTTTGCATAGGTGTTAATGACTCCCCAACCTGCCAGGCCTATGTCCAGCCCACGGAAATATTTTGTACTTTACATACAATTGATTCAGTTAATTCGTGGGGCAACCCCACTGGGGTTAATGAAAACACCTCAGGGAGAAGTCTAATGTAGCGCATAGGTATCAGCGCACAGGTGACCCACATGCATGGTCTGACAGGTTACACACAGAGGCTTTCTGGCACAGTGAGCCAGATCCAGGCTGCAGGGCATACACACAAGCACCGTGCCACAGGCAACTCACTGCTACGCCTGCTTTGTAAGGTGGCAATGCCTAAAGGCGCCCATCAGGGATCAGACTCTCCTTGTGCCAGCTGCTGCACAAACACATGAAACAATGGTCCCTGCCCAGCAGGGATTCCCTCAAACGGCTGGGGACTTGGGCCCGGCCCCCCACGGGGCCCCCCCCCCCCCCCGGCCCTGCAGAGACCCAGCTCAGCAGCACTCACGTACTAGAGGATCCTTCCCATTAGAGGACTCGGTCTCCAAGCCAGCGGTGACATCGACCAGGGTGGTGTCCCCCCTGCATGGACAGGAGAGAGAGGGTGAGAAGCCCTCGGGGTAACCAAGGGCCCCGCTCCAGGGGGGCAGCGTCCCGCCTCCTCCTCCCCCCCGGGGTAACCGGGGTAACGGGGGGGGTCTCGCTCCAGGGGGCAGCGCCCGGGGTAACCGGGGGCCCCCATCCACTACCGCCCTCACCCGGTCTCGGAGTCCCCGGCGCCCTGCTCAGGGGGTCCCGGGGGGTCCCCGGCCGCGGCCTCCCCCACCACCTCCCCCTCCTCCGGCGCCGCCGCCGTTGTTGCTCCCGCCGCCGCCGCCATCTTCCTCCCGCGCAGTCGCGCCAAACTCTCGCCTGGGCTCTCGCGAGATTTCCCTTCCCTTCCATAAAGGGGCGATGCCAGCGCTGGGCCCCACCACGGAGGGGCAAGGTCCCGCAGAGCAGTGACATCACCAGGCCTTGCCGTGACCTCACCGTGCCATCACCCCACTGCGATGCAGTGACCTCACTGTGATGTGCTGTGCCATGACATCAGCGTGCTGCGCTGCGTGTCCTCCCCCCCCCTGCATGCGTTGACTCCACATACTGCGCCTTGGTATCATGCCAGCACGATGCTGATGTCATACTGCTAGGCTGTGACCTCACCAGGCTCCCAGGAATCTATCTACCCCCGAAGAGAAGCAGTTCTGCCAAAAGGCCAGCTGGTGACCTGAGATTGCTGCAACTCATAGAATAGCAGGGTTGGAAGGGACCTCAGGAGGTCATCTAGTCCAACCGCCTGCTCAAAGCAGGACCAACACCAACTAAATCATCTGTTTGTTTTGTCTCCATTAAAATTCATCAGTATCACTATTACTTTGTCCTCCCTTAGTTTGCTTCCCCTCCAACTGCCCCAGTTGCACCTTTCCTCAAACTAAAGCTTTTAAACTCTGAGGAAGAGATATGCCTGTCTGTCCATACCTACCACAATGGAGCTTTGATCCTGGATTTGAGGCCTATATCGGGGTTCTCAACCTTTTTCTTTATGAGCCCCCCCAACATGCTATAAAACTCCACAGCCCAGTTGTGCCACAACAACTGGTTTTCTGCATATAAAAGCCAGGGCTGGTGTTAGGGGGTAGCAAGCAGGACAATTGCCCAGAGACCCACACACACGGGGCCCCGCAAAGCTAACTTGCCCAGGCTTCGGCTTCAGCCCCAGGTGGCGGGGTTCAGGGCCCCAGGCTTCAGCCCCATGTGGTGGGGCTTCAGCTTTCTGCCCTGGGCCTCAACAAGTCTAATGCTAGCCCTGCTTGGCGGCCCCCCCAAAACCTGCTCGTGGTCTCCCAGGGGGCCCCAGGCTTCTGGTTGAGAACCACTGGCTTATCAAAACGACTTTAATACAAGTAAGATTTATCTCAGCTAATAATCTAATAGAGGGAAGTGGTTCACAGATGCACTAGCCAGTCCCTGGCAGTGTAATTACTATTTCTAAAGTAACTTTCATCTTCAAAGCACTGCACAAACATTAACTCACAGACAATGGGGCTCTCACTGAAGTCAATGTCAATACTCCCTGTCAAGGCTGTATCCCCACTTTGAACTTTAGGGTACAAGAGTGGGGGCCTGCATGAGGACTCCTAAGCTTATCTACCAGCTTAGCTTTGGTCCGCTGCCACCATCACAAGAACTCCCTCCCTGGGAAGCCTTGAGAAACCTTTCACCAATTCCCTGGTGAACACAGATCCAAACCCCCTTGGATCCTAAAACAAGGAGAAATTACCCATCCCCCCTCCTTCCTCCCACCCTCCTTTCACCAACTCCTGGTGAATACAGATCCAAACCCCCTTGGATCTTAAAACAAGGAGAAATCAATCTGGTTCTTAAAAAAGAAGGCTTTTAATTAAAGAAAAAGGTAAAAATTATCTCTGTAAAATCAGTATGGAAAATACTTTACAGGGTAATCAAACTTAAAGAGCTCAGAGGACCCCCCTCTGTCTTAGGTTCAAAGTACAGCAAAACAAAGATAAACACTCTAGTAAAAGGTACATTTACAAGTTGAGAAAACAAAGTAAATCTAAGACGCCTTGCCTGTCTTTTTACTTACAAGTTTGAAATAGGAGAGACTTGTTTAGAAAGATGGGGAGAACCTGGATTGATGTCTGGTCCCTCTCAGTCCCAAGAGCGAACCACTCCTTAAAACAAAGAGCACACACACAACCCTTTTCCCCCCCCCAAGATTTGAAAGTATCTTGCCCCCTTATTGGTCCTTCGGGTCAGGTGTCAGCCAGGTTACCCGAGCCTCTTAACCCTTTACAGGTAAAAGGATTTGGAGTCTCTGTACACAGAGAGCTGTTACCCTTCCCTTTATAGTTATGACACTCCCATTAACTTGAGAGGGACAAAGGCCTTGACCATCACAGCATCCCTGTGAAATACTATCCCTATCTTACAGGGGGAGAAACTGAGGCACAGAGAGGCAAAGTAACTTGCCCAGGGTCACATAATGATTCACTGACAGGCTCAAGAGAAGAAGTCTGCTGTTCTTGGCTCCTGGTCTTGTGCCCAGATCACCAGCCTTCACAGCCTCTCAGGAATCTCCAAAAGGAATATGAATCTTTTCTCAAAAGTTTGCAATATTTTCCAACAGAGAGGGAAGAGCCCTGTGATTGAATGAGCCTGAGACATCAAAGGAGAAGTTCCTTCCATTCAGTGAGGCCCTTTGAAGTGCTATGTGATTGGTTTAAAACATGGAACATCAAGGGAAGAAATAACAGCATCAACTTTGTCATTAACTGCACATCCACCTTTGTACCAAATGGGCAAGAGTTGGACAAATGCCCTCCCCAACTCAGTATGCACAGACCCTGTCCTACTTCCAATGCCTTCTAATGACCCATCTCTATGCCCAGGTACACTGGCTAGGTGTGTGGCCAATTAGTGATTCATTAATATTCTGTCCTATTCATGTTCTTACGCTGCACCAATCACCATGGTCTCTTCAGAATTTGTCTTATTTAAACATTTAAGCCTCCAAATGTTATGCTGAGCTAATTGACTATGCAGCCTTGCATTCCTGTTTCTGTCAGCCTTGTCTATGCCATGTTGTCCTGATACCTCTTGTCCCTTTTCCGGTTGTAAAGTACTTGGGGCCTGGACTGTTCTTTTCTTTTATATTTGTATCTTCCTCAGTACAATGACACTCCCCGTCATCACGGGGGCCTTGGAGTGCTACTGTAATACAAACAATGACAAATGTCCAATTTACCAAAGAAACCAAGGTCTCCCTGGTATTAGGACCCATCTGCTCCCCTCGATTATATAGTGGTTTGGGGCTCAGACAGACAAAAAGCAGGAAGAAATAGGCTTGTACAGAAGCAAATGCCATGTTATCATCACATATACTTTCTGTTATTTAGAGTCTCAGATCAGCTCTTCTATTACTTTGCTTGGTCTCTTTCTCAATTTAACGGTATCACTAAGATACTTATCAACTTGGTATCTGAACACTGATAGCTAAGATAAGATTGTCACATATAGTAACTGACAAATAGGAATGGCACAATCTGGATAAAGGTTGAGGCAAATATGCTCATTTATTAAAAGGGGGAGGAAGGATCATCTAGAGAAATCTTAACCAAATTTAGGGAAAGATTTTTAAAAATGGTTTACTCCAGTTAGACTCCTAAATCCAGACTTAGGTACCAAACTCAATTAGTGGGAGCTGACCTGTATAATCAGGTTATTTCTGTGGGTGCCTAGATATGGACTCCGGAGCTTTACTTTGGGCACCCATTATTGCAAATCTTGGCCTCCTTCTCTAACTGTACTTGTTGTCCAGTGACACCTACGTATTTCAATGATGAGAGCCGTAAGAAGCCATAAAATGAGGGCAGAGTTGTGGCGAGCAGTCCTTGCTGGGATGCTAGTGGACCCTTCTCTCTGAACTGTAGGGTGGATGTCTCTCAACAGAGTACGCTAGTTCCTACAAAATGCTGGGCTCAGTAGGAATCACCGGGTGAAATACTACAGCCAGGGTTATGTTGGAGACCTAGATGATCATGAATTTGGGAAGTCACTGCAGTCTACATAAATAGTAACTAATAACAGAAGACAAAGCAAATGCCCTCCTTGGCCAGGGAGGAAATAAAAGGGATTGTAACAATGTCCTGGAGCTGCCTTTTTGCGGTGGAGTTCTCATCTTGGGGAGCTGCTGTCCAGCCTGTCGGTGCTGAAAGTCTCTCCCTTAATTTACCACTAATGGCATCCTTCCATCTCTCGCGCCTCCAGACACTGACCAACTCCATCCCACTCCTGCCCTTCCTTCCTCAGGCCCCTGTACAGTTTCCTGATCTTCTCTCAGCTCCCCCACCTCCTTCCCATCCATCTCCTGCATCACCACACTGAGGAGTGCTCACTGCTAGTCCAGTCATCTCCCTCGGTCACGCAGGGTATGTCAACACTGCACCTGGGGAGGCCTCCAGGCCTGGGTCTGTGCTAGCAGAGCTTGTGTAGATGTTATGGCTCAGGCTGGAGTGGTGGCTCTCAAGCCTGGGAAGGGGACATCCCACATAGCCAAGCCAGAGCCTTACAGCAGAGGAGTGGAACTCAGGCAGGGAAATCCTTCTGCCTCACCCGCAGGGAATCAGTTCTGTCCCATAAGAGGCGGGGAAGTTGAAGTCGCGGGTTTCAGATGTGGCAATCTTGTGGGCTTGAGTCTCTCCAAGTCCCTCTGGCTCCGGCACTGCAGGAGTATGCACAATTCTTCTCACCCACACCTCTGCTCACACCAGAAACTCTCCGTCCGGGTGGGTTATTCCATCGTTGTCCAAAATGGGGTTTCTTGCACCTTCCTTTGAAGTATCTGGTACTGGTGGTGTTGGAGACAAGATGCCAGACTGAAAGGACCATTCCTATGATCTGACTGAGTTCTACACATGTGCTGGGAATCGAGGTACATTGCCTGCATCAGAGTGTAGCATTTTGCCCCAGTTGAGTTTAATGAGTCTGTTTTCCTCAGAGTGAAAGCAGGCTTTCAAGATCAGTCTGTTCGAAGTCAAAATTCTCTTGGCTTTAAGCACTTTTAAAGGCCATCAATATTTTGAACACTTCAGAAGGAAGAAACAAAAATGTTCTTTTCATTTTCCTAAGTGGCTGTGGGACTATAACTGGACTCTTTGATCCTGAGCTCGAGACAGAGCGGATCCTTGATGTCCTGAGCATGTGCAGAGTTGTGTGGGGAGGGGGAGTATGTGCATTTGGTATTCTGCTATGCTTCCATCTCCACCCAGAGCCATT